CCTTAAAATAGACGTACTTAAAACACTGAAAATGCAGAAAGGTTGAAAGTTAAAAGTTTGACAAAGATGTATCATTAGAATATTAACCAAAAGAGAAAAAGAGCTGGTATTCCTAGATTTAAAGCAGATAAAATGGGCTTTCAGGTAAATTAAAAAACAAAAAACCAAACACTTAAAAAAAAAGATCATTTTGCTCTGGTAAAATGTTCATAAAGTTTGATAAAAGATAAAAAAAAAAACTACTTGCAAGCAGATTACATTCTCAAGTAATAATGCAATAAAGATAGAAATTAAAACAAAAAAGATGATGAAAAGCCATATGCCTGAAAGTTTTAAAGATTTTATTTATTTATTCATGAGAGACACAGAGAGAGGGAGAGGAAGAGGGAGAAGCAGGCTCCCCAAGGAGCAGGGAGCCCGATGCGGGACTTGATCCCAGGACCCCGGGATCATGACCTGAGCCAAAGGCAGACACTTACCCATCTGAGCCACCCAGGTGCCCCTGCCTGAAAGTTTTAAAACACAATTTTAACCTATTATCTGTTGAAGAAGAAATAAAATATTTCTTATGATAATAAATATATGATAAATAAAAACAAAACCAATGATAAAAATACAACATATCACTATATATAGGATGTAGCTGATGCAGTATATAATAATAATTTTTGAGGTTTAAATACTTACATTTTTAAAAAATACTGAAAATAAATGAGTTGAATTTTCACCTTACGTTAGAAAAAAGAACAACAGGAAAAAAAAAAAAAACAAACCCCAAAGGATGTAAATAACTACTGGCATAAAAGCAGACATATGGGCCAATGGAATAAATAGAGAGCCCAGAAACCCAAGAACACACACTGGGGAAAGGACAGTCTCTTCCACAATGCTCTTGGAAAAACTGAATATCCACATGCAAAAGAATGAAATTGGACCCTTATCTCATACCATACACAAAAATCAACTAAAAATGGACTAAAGATTTAATGTAAGCTCTGAAACTATAAAACTCCTCGACACAAACGTAGGAAAAAACTTTATGGCATTGGTCTTGGCCATGATTTTTTTGATATGACACCAAAAATACAAGCAACAAAGGCAAAAATAGTCAAGTGAAACTACATCAAACTAAAAAGCTTCTGTACAACAAAAGAAAAAAAATCAACAAAATGAAAAGGCAACCTATAGAATGAGAGAAAATATTTGCAAACCATATATCTGATAAGGAGTTAATACCCAAAAGGAACACATACCACTCAATAGAAGAAAAATCCAATTAAAAAATGGACAGAGGATCAAAAAGCAAAAAGTGTTGGCAAGTCTGTGGAGAAAAGGGAACCCCTTTGCACCGTTGGTCACACGAACTGGTTCAGCCACTATGGAAAATAGTATGAACGTTCCTCAAAAAATTAAAAATAGAACTACCATATGCTCTAACAATCCTACTTCTGGGTATATATCCAAAGGGAATGAAAACAGGATATAGAAGAGATATCTGCACTCCCGTATTCACTGCAGCATTGTTCACAATAGCCAAGATATGGAAACAACCTAAGTGTCCATCAATGGAAGAATGGATAAGGAAGATATGGCATATATATATAATACATATATAATATATATATATAAAATATTATTCAGCCATAAGAAAGAAGGATATCCTGCCATTTTTGACAACATGGATGGACTCCGAGGACAAACACTGCATAGTATCACTTATATGTGCAATCTTTAAAAAGAAAGAAGTTCACACTCTTAGAAACAGAGTAGAATGGTGGTTGCCAGAATGGGGTGTGGGGGGGGGCAGTAAATAGGGGGGAGGTGGTAAAAGGATATAAACTTTCAGTTATAAGATGAATAAGGTTTGAGGATCTAATGTAAAAAACGGTGACACTAGTTGATAACACTGTATATTATGTAACTGAAATTTGCTCAGAGTAGAACTCAAATGCTCTCCTCTGCCCCCCAAAAGATAAATATGTAAGGTGATAGGTGTGTTAATTAACTAGATGGTGGGAATTCTTTCACAATGTATACGTATATCAAATCACCACAATATACATTTAAATATCTTACAATTTTGTCAATTACATCTCAATAGAACTGGAAAAAATACAATATATATATATGTATATATAAATAATAGAATATTATTCAGCCATAAAAAAGAAGCAAATCCTGCCATTTGTGACACCACGGATGAACCACAAAAGCATTATGTTAAGTAAGATAAGTCAGAGAAAGACAAATACTGTATGATCTCACTCATATACGGAATCTAAAAAAAACTGAACTCATAGTGCCAGAGAGTAGATTGATGGTTGCCAGGGGTGGTGGGGGTGGGGGTAGAGGAAATGGTAGCTGGTGGTCAGAAGGTACAAACTTCCAATTATAAGATGAAAAAGTTCTGGGTGCCTAAAGTATGTAGTTAATGATACTATACTATATACTTGAAAGTTATTTAAAAAGTGATCATAAATGGTTTTACTGCCAAAAATCCAAAATACCAAAAAAAAGGTAACTATGGAAGTAATGGATGTGTTAACTAACTTTATGGTGGTATTCATTTCACAATATAAGCATATATCAAAGCATCACATTATACACCTTAAACTTACATAATGTGATATGTCAAATATAATCTCCATAAAGCTGGGAGAAAAAAAGATAAATATCTCTAATGCACAAAAAAACCTTTCCCTAGGACACAAAAAGAGAGAACACCATTCAAGTTATTTTATGAAAACAGCATAACCTTGACCAAAATATTACAAAGATAATTTAAGAAATCGTAATTATAGAATATTCTTATACATAAACATGAATTTTAAAATGCTGAATAAAGTATTAGAAAATTTTATCTAGCAATGTATAAACTGAATGTAACTCAAAAATGCAAATTTAACATCAGAAAATTAATAAATCAAAGGAAAAAAGCATATAATCATATAGAGGCAGAAAAAATTTGAAAAAAACCCAACACCTATTCATAATTTAGAAAACTCTACAAACTAGGAATAGAAGGGTGTTTTCTTACTCTGATAGAGAGTATAAAAAAATCTATAATGAACATTATACTTAATGGTAATACTTTGAAAGCTTTCCCTCTGGGCGTGGGAATGAAACAAGGATGCCTGATAATCACCACTTTTATTCAACACTGAACAGAAACAGCAATAAGACAAGAAAAAGTGAAAGGTGTATGATTAGGAAAGAACAAATTGTCATTATTAGAGATAATCTCCTTGTTACACAAACTCAAGAAATTAGACTTGGTAATGGGATTTAACAACATCACTAATTGGATATAAGATTAAAGGTGAAGTGAATATCCAAAACTCAACTGCATTCCTATATACTATCAAATAACCGAATTCAAAAAGAAAAAAGGACCATTTATAATAGCAACAAAAACATAATATATGCAAAAATAAATAATAAAAATCTTGAAAATTATAAAACTTTACAGGAAGTCATTAGAGAAGACGATATCAAAGGTTAGCTATACTATGTTCATGGAAAAATTGATCTATAAGTTCAATGCAACTTTAGTCAAAATCTCAACTGGTTTTTTAAGATGGTAAGCATAACCATATTGATTTTGCTATTTTTAAATTGTAAACCTACTTGGCGTTCATACTATTACACCTAAGACACATTTTTTAAAGAGCCAAATGTAAATGACTAAATCTTTGTAGAACTAGAAGAAAATATAAGTGAATATCTGAACTCGGGATGAAGAATTGTTTAAATATATAAACACAAGAATTCTACAAAATGAAAATTTTTACTTTTTAAATTTAAAAGATACTATAAAATAAAATCAAGAGAAAAATATTCACTACATAACAATGAATATTTTAATATATAAAAAGTTCTTATAAATTGATAAGGAAAACATTTTTTTCTTAACATGAGAAAAGGATAGGAACTAGTAATTACAGCCAATAAACACAAAAAATAAGCTTAGCCTCAGCAGCAAAGAGAACCAAATTAAAGCAATACATTATTTTATTTACAAAATTGGCAAATGTTTTAAGAAATGCTAATATATCCTTTAGCCAAGATTCCATAAAATAAATATTCTCACATAGTGATGGTAGAAATATCAATTCATAAATTATTTCAGGGAAGCAACTGACCAATACATAAAAAAGGATCTTCAAAATGTTTATGTCTTTTGACCTAGGAATTTTGCTTTTAGACATTACCCTCCCAAAATAATGGATGGTCATTGCAGCTTTATTTATATTAACGAAACTTTGAAAAGATACTAACACATGCAAAAATAGGATTAATGGTTAAGTATTCCACATGTTAGAATTGTAGATCCAAGTCAGAAAATGCCATGAAGCCACTGATAAAATTGTTACACAAAAATTTTATTTTATTTTTTTAAAGATTTTATTTATTTGACAGAGACACAGCGAGAGAGGGAACACAAACAGGGGGAGTGGGAGAGGGAGAAGCAGGCTTCCCGCGGAGCAGGGAGCCCGACGCGGGGCTCGATCCCAGGACCCTGGAATCATGACCTGAGCCGAAAGCAGATGCTTAACGACTGAGCCACCCAGGTGCCCTATTACACAAAAATTTTAAAGATGAAAATTTTCTACCCTTAATTATGCTAACAAATTAGGTAATGAAATAATCTACCATAATATCCGAATTCTGTAAGAATGTGTGATATATGGGTGTCCGTGAGTGCAGGGAAGAGAGAAAACAGAAAAAAAACACACCAAATTATTAACATTGCTTACTTTGAGGTAGCAGGATAGAGGGAATGTGGTGATTTTTACCTTGATCTCTGAGCTTTTCTGTATTTGTCAAAATTTCTAGACAGCACCCCACCTACGTATTACTGGTATAAGAAACAAACAGGTAGCTTCCCTTCTATCAGAATCAAGTCTAGCCTCCTTAGTCTGACATACTGTCTTTATCATCCCATCTTCTTCTTCCTGCTTTCCCTTTGTTTCTTTTTTCTTTTTTTTTTTGACAGAGAGAGACACACAGAGAGAGGGAACACAAGCAGGGGGAGTGGGAGAGGGAGAAGCAGACTCCCCGTTGAGCAGGGAGCCTGACATGGGACTTGATCCCAGGACCCTGGGATCATGACATGAGCTGAAGGCAGACGCTTAACGACTGAGCCACCCAGGTGCCCCTTTCCCTTTGTTTCAACAGGCTTACACATACACGCTTTTGCTCATGTGCTTGTGTGTCCCAGGATTGCCTTTTCCACCCCAGGAGCTCTGCATTCAGGGTTCCACGCAAGGCTTCCTTCCCTTCATGAACCAGCCTGTGTGACTGAGCCCTCCACTCAAATAGCAGCTCTCTGTCTACCAGACTCCATGGCAATTAATCTGACAAGTAATCAAGTACAGCTTGCAAATCTCTACCACTGTGGCCTTGAACTGTTACTTGATTTTCTTTTAACTTTTTGTATGTTTTTGTTCTTCTCTCCAACTAGATTATGAACTATTTTTTGTTATTTTTCATAAAGTCTAGTGCAACAGAGTAGGTGTCTGTGGTACACAAAATAATGGCCCCAAAGATGTCCATGTCCTAACCCCCAGAGCCTGTGAATATGTTAGGTTATAGGGCAAAGGGGAATTAAGACTGCAGATGGAGTTAAGGTTGCCAATCAGCTTGACCTTCAAAGAGGGAGATTAGCCTGGATTACCCAGGTGGGCCTAATGTAATCACAAGGGGCCTTAAAAAGTGGAAGAGCTCAGAAGAGGTATGAGGACAGAAGTAAGGTTGGAGTGATGTGCTATAAGGACTCAACTCTCCATCGCTGGCTTTGAAGATGGAGGAAGAGGACACAGGCCAAGCAAGGGGGGGCAGCCTCCCCAGGCTGGAAAAGGCAAGGATATGGATTCTCCCCTAGAGCCTCCAGAAAGGAATACAGTCCTGCCAACATCCTGGATTTCTGTTCAGTGAGATCCATGTCAGACTTTTAACCTACAGAACTGTAACATGAATTTGTGTGGTTTTAAGTCATTACGTTTATGGTAATTTGTTCCAGCAGCGATAGCAAATTAATACAGTGTTAAATACTATTTTCCTTCATTCGCATTTAAATCAAGAAAGATAAAACCAAAGTTATGAAAATAATGGACACATTTAAGACTATACTTTTTGAGGCAATCTATCCTAATCGCCCCCAAATGCCTCTCATTATTTCTTTATTTCTCCTTAGCGCTTATGTAATCAATTTACATCACTTATCATTTGTTGCTACTTATTTTATTACTGTGTTAATATCGCTTCCTGGGCACACAGTTTTCCTCTCATTCAAAAGGCTCTTCAGAAGAGAGGCCATGTATTCATTCCCTAGGTATTTGCTGCCAGAGGTAAGAGACTTCAGTCTATAAATGCCTGATTACTAACATCTTACATTATGGATTACTTACGGGCGACCATGGACTCAGCCTTCTTCTCAAAAGTGTTTTTAAAAGTTTTATTTCAGCCTTATACAGATGCACCCTCAAGCCCCTAAAAAGATCTGGCCAGATTAGTAAATATTTAGAAAGGGGACTTACTACACTTTTATTCCATTGGATATGTCCCACAAAATTTAGCGAGGTTTTATGTTTTTCCAAATTTTTATGGTTGACTATTTCAAGAAAGGCATATGGATTTATCCTTATAGATTGTAAGACTGGGGAACTGAGGTAGAAAGATGTCTGGTCTGGGAGGGGAGAGAAAAAAGGGAGTCTGGATACCCTCGAATCTTGAACAGACCTGGGTACTGAGCAGGCTCTGTGGTGGAGGAGGGACTATGTGGAGGGTATAGTCTATTCTGTGTTGAGTGTCAGAATCGGCATAGACCTCTGAATCAACTAGAATTACCAGGCTACTCTTGGAAGCCATGGCTAAAATTTCTAGGCTGTACCAGAATTAAAGAAAGGTAAGCAAATAAATAAGTGGTCAGCTGGAAACAAGAGGATTTGGCCTCATCGTAACCCTGGGGGAGAAAAATAAAAGCTGATGTGTAAATAGGGTTCTGGGCAAGTGAGCACATGGTGTTATGGAGAAGGGAATGCAGGGAGGCAGCTGGCCCTGGCCACGTGCCCTTCTCCCCAGAGGCAGGGCCAGCCCCAGCCCTTCAAGTCCGCTTCTGTTATCTGGCTCTGGGAAGCCTTAAAAAAGTTGCTGACTCTGATTTCTCCAAACATAAAATTGGGGCAGTGGGATTTGCCATTTCTGTGTAGCCCAGGCCTGTGGTGAGGATTAATTCGTGTTTTTAAAGGGCTGTGCGTTTGGTGTGGTTTGTTTATTTTCTCAGGATGAAAGCCAGCACCCCAGCACTAAGTGCTAACAGCGAAGGTTTGAGGTATGTTACCTAAGATGCACTGTGTGAAGTGGGGCGGATGGGACGTGCGGCTTGTGGGACTGCCTTTGGCATCAAAAAGGCCACATTTCCAAACACACTTCAGTGCTCGCCAAAGTGAAGGAGGCAGAAGAAAAGCCCTTGAAAATTAAAAAGGGGCAAAGTCACCTGAGTTTAGGCTCTGCGACCAAGGGCATGTACCGACCTACACCAAGGAACATTTGATGAGCGGCTAAAGACAAATATTAGCAGGTAGAGAACACCTGCAGACAAAACTCTGCTCACTTCGTGACAAGCTGCAAAATGGGCTCCTATATTCTATGAGGACAAAGAATGCCAGCGGAGGCCGTCAGGGTCTGACGGTGGAGGAGGATGCTCACACTCTAGCTTCGCGGCCACAGCACAGGTGGGCGTGGGGGCAAAGACACCAGTGCGGCCCCAACTCCCACTCACTGGAGACTCAGGAGCTTTCCAGATAGGCCAGTCTCACAAGAACCCTCCAGGCTGGTTTGCTGTTTGTTTGTTTGTTAAGATTTTATTTATTTGTGAGAGAGAGCGTGCACAAGTGGGGGGGGGGGCAGGCAGAGGGAGAAGGAGAAGAAGACTCCCCGCTGAGCAGGGAGCCTGATTCGGGACTCGATCCCAGGACCCCGGGATCATGACCTGAGCCAAAGGCAGATGCTTAACTGACTGAGCTGCCCAGGCATCCCCGGGCTGGTTTTCAAAAGTAAATCTTTATGGCTTCATTCCTAATTATGGAAGTTAGATGTGCTCGTTACTAAAACTTAAAACTGGAGAAATACATGAAACAAAAAGTGCAGACAGCCCCCTTCCCAATCCCAGCAGCCAGAACATAATCGCTATGAACTCTTGTTGGGACATATTTACAAGACACAGATATAATTGTCCTTAATTTATAGGCAAGGAAATGGATAACTCAGAGAACTTATCCACAAGCTTACAGGAAATAAGTCAAAACTGGAATTCAAACCCAGACTTTTGGACACCCCGGAATTCTGCATGTTCCATTAGGCTACACCCCCTGTCCCCACACCCTTTCTCTCATCCCACCACCATCCTGCAGTGTAATTACTACAGGGCACTGTAGGACTTGCATAACTAGCTTTACACACACAAGCTGCTGCCATCCACACAGTCACATTGTGCATGAAAGTGCAAGCTAGTGTCACGGCTAGACCCATTTTTCCAGCCACATTTAAGTATGTAATGCTCCGGTGACATTTGAGTGAATGACTGTAACACAGATCTGGGCATCCCTTTAGCTCAAATCCCATCCAGAACAGAAAACAAAGAGACACCTTAAATTAGGAGGACGTGACTTTTGTGTGAGGCCTGAACCTGGAAAGCCCTGAATTCTGGGTCTGGTATTTATTAGCTGTGTGTGACCAATGCCTCAGTTTCTCCTTCCTGCTTATAAAGAGGGTGGACAAACTGAATGACTTCTAATTTCTGGTGTTCCATGCAATGGTGAGCAATCTCCTCATTGCGACGTGGTGGGCTTCATGCATCCCCTCTAACTTTTCTTATTCTGCTCAATATTGAATTTTAGGCTGAAGGATAGAAGGTTGCTTCTTGATTGCTACCTCACAAATATGCCCAGAAAGAAATGAAAGTGCTTTGAAAATAAAGTATGATATTATTGCTCTTGCTAGATTTATTCTAATTAAATGAGTGGTTGATAGCCAACTTCAATGATTAATTTATTAGCATGCATTCTTTCAGTGTGTACAAACTCTGCAACAAAAGGGATTGAGAGGAGCACCTGGGCGGCTCAGTCGGTTAAGCATCCGACTCTTGATTTCCCCTCAGGTCATGGTCTCAGGGTTGTGAGATTGAGCCGCAACCGCATCGGGCTCCACGCAGGGCATGGAGCGTGCTTGAGATTCTCTCTCTCCCTCTCCCTCTGCCCCTCCTCTCTCTCCCTCCTCCCCCCTCTAAACAAAGGAGGGGGGGGATTGAGAAAGTTATAGATGAAATCTCGCCCTCCTTGGAACTGACAGCTCTGGATGGGGAAAACACATGACTATAAACAACTGTGTATGAGGTAGCAAGAGCTCAGTGTCATAGGGCGCTACAGAGAAGCTCAAGAGACTTCAGACTGGAGGGGCCAAGCAGAGCTTCATGGAGGAGGGGGGATGTGAACAGGTCCCTAGAGAAGTGTCAGAAAAGCACAGGAAGATGATGGTGGCTAAAGGTGGGCACTGCAACAGTGCTGAGGGGTCATGTAAGCTGAATGACGGAGGTCGTAGCTGACAGGCTCAGGCGTCCGCACACGGCTGTGGGCAGCTGGGGACCACGGAGAGCCGGCAAGCAGGGAAGTGGCCTCTTCCAGACCAGCTTCTAACAAAACTTAAACTCTAACTGATCTCCAGGACCTACACCAGTACCTAGCTTGTCGTACCTGCTGAATAAATCATCTCAGAAACAGACTGAATGTTGCTCCAGAGAGGAAACAGGGAGCCACTCCAAGCATGCAAACCTGGACAGCTCTCAGATCTCGTGTACAGAACTGGCAATTTTACCACAGAAAATGAGTGTGTGAGCGAGAGGGAGGGAAAGACTCTTCTTTCACTCTGTAATCAAGAGCAAAATAACATCTCATTATAACCTTTAAAGAAAGGAGGCCTTTTTAAAATGAAATAGTAACAGAGCTGTACACAATCACTTCGAAGACTTGGCCTTTGGTGGTGTGGAAAATGCTAACATCTGTCAGTGCCCTTCATCTATGATCAAGCTCCTACCAGAAGAATCTGAGTGCTGTGTATGCACGCACGTGTGTCAGGTGTATATGAATACATTGCACACCAGATGTACCTGAGAATTCTAACGATACACAGAATGTCATGTCTGACTTCCGAGGTGAGTGGTGGTCTCAGATGGTGCAGGCTCATTACTTCAGAACAGTGCATGTCAAGCCTGGTGCCTGTGGGATGGGTGTATATATTTTCTCTAAGGCAAACTAACTCTTTTGAAATTATTTCTCCTCATGGTCTGAGGCATGCTGGCTGGAACCTGAGGGAATTTGGAGCTGGTGCTCCTCAGAAGCACGTCGAGCTGGGCTCACACCTGCAGATCTCAGGGCCTGACTTGGAATCTCGGCTGCTCCCTACAACTTTAGAGAGTTCCAGGCATCCCATGAATGAGCTTAAACAGCATCATCCCTGTCCCTCAGGCTCTCACAGGCCTCCTCCTCTGACTACCTTGGACTGCTCGAGAAGGACACTGAGTCTAGGTCAGCCTGCTAGAAAGAAATATTCTATTTATTCATTTTTAAAGATTTTATTTATTTGAGAGAGAGACACACAGAGAGAGAGAGAGCATGAGTAGGGGGGAAGGGGAAGAGGCAGAGGGAGAAGGAGACTTCCCGCTGAGCAGAGAGCCCGATGCAGGGCTCGATCCCAGGACCCTGAGATCATGACCTGAGCCGAAGGCAGAAGGCAGATGCTTAACTGACTGAGCCACCCAGGCGCCCCTAGAAAGAAATATTTGAAAGACAAAGGGGAATAAATAATTCTTAGGATCTATTCTTAAAAGGAAGGAGGGAAGGGAAAACGGTACTATCTGAACGGAGACCAAAACATGTCTGTCCAAGGTTACCTCAGAACAAAGCCTTTAAAGATGAATAAAAAGTTTCCTCAAAGCACACAGGAAAGCAATTACAGCCCACACATTTGACACTGGCCACGGGGGTGAGGGGTGAGGGGTGAGGGGTGGGGTGGAGATAAAAGCAGAGCCAGATTTGGGGCACAGAGAGGACATTGAGCAATGAAACAATACAAGGGAACTTGCCAAGAAGGGGAGCACAAAGAGAGAGAAGAGCAAGAAGGAGCAGGGCCCTGGACTCTGAGGGGAAGTCAGGCTGAGCCGAGCACACAGGCAGGGGCTTTATAAGTATATATGTTTGTCTCTCACGGAGATCTAGAGAAATCCCACATCCTCTCTTCTGGCTGATATTTTCAATGCAGGCAAGACTGAGGGTGGGCATTTATAAACTGGATAAGTAGTTTCCAGCATCTGTATATGATAATGTTAATGGTCACTAGCCACTTACTAATTTTAATTAAAAAAAATTTTTTTTATTCATGAAAGTCAGAGAGAGAGAGAGAGAGAGAGAGAGAGAGGCAGAGGCAGAGGGAGAGAAGCAGGCTCCCCGCCTAGCAGGGAGCCCGATGTGGGACTCGATCCCAGGACCCCAGGATCATGACCTGAGCCGAAGGCAGATGCTTAACCATCTGAGCCACCCAGGCGCCCTTAATTAAATTATTTTTATGTAAGAACAAAATGTAAGATGCAAGTTCATGGATTAAAAGGTGGGTGTGAATTGCCTTTCAGGAGGTCCTTTAGGTTCAGGAAAGGCTAAGAGACAGTAAGACAATGACTTTAACCCGATGATCTATTATTAGTCATTAACAAGTATTTGCCGAGAAATGACTAGGACGGCAGGCTCTGTGCTATGCACTGGGGATACGGCAGTAAATGAAAAAGATACAGACCCCGGCCTCATGAATTTCTATGCTTTTCTTTGGTTTTACATTTTACATTTATTTATTTTGAATTGTGGTAAAAAAAATAAAATTTACCATTTTAACTGTTTTTAAATGTACAGTTCAGTGGCACCAAGTACATTCACATAGTTGTGCAACCTTCACCACATCCCCCCACAGAACTCTTTTCGTCTTGTAAAACTGAAACAACACCCATTAAACACGAATTCCCCGTCTCGCCCCCTCCAGCCTCTGGCAGCCCCCATTCTACTTTCTGTCTCCATAATTTTGACTATACGAGGTACCGCGTTTAAGTGGAATCATGCAGTATTTGTCTTTTTGTGACTGGCTTATTCCACAAACGTTCTCAAGGTTCATCTATGGTGTATCATGCACCCCTTTGTCCCACCAACAGCGCATTCCCATTTTACATTCCCACCAACATGCCTACATGTTCCCATTTCTCTATGTCCTCACCAACACTTCTTATTTTCCTTCCTTTTTTCTTTCTTCCTTTCTTTCCTTTTCATAGCAGCCATTCTAATGGGTGTGATCTGTGGTTATTTGAGACCGTTCATCCTTTACTGCATAATCTCCTGGTCTATGGGAAACCCTATGACCTCTGGTGTGTGCCTGTGTCTGTCCCAGTCTTCTGGGAATATCTTTATTATTCATACCCAACACACAATGTACCAAGAGTATGCGGCCATGAAAAAAGCCCCAACTCTACCAGTAGGAAGGGCCTCTGGGGGCGCCCTGTACTCTAAGAATAAGAGGGAGAGCGTAGAACTGTTAAACCCCAAAAGGTCAGCTTCTGAGGGGATGTGGTAGTACTTAGAAGGCAGGGCTCCCCTGGGAAATGTCTAATGCCTGCTCCTCTGATTCATGATAGGAGGAGACACTGGTCCACAACCCCCAACAAAACCCACTAAAGGGGAGAGGGCAGACGGAAAAGTGGATTGATGCAGTGATGTTTTAGACCAGGCATCAGAAAAGTGGGCAGGATGTAGTAATAATAAAATCCTACAATTCAAATTACTCTAGCACTTATAATGTTTCTAACATTTTCACTTGTATTTATCTATGTACAACCATGCCTTTGGCTACAACACTGCTTAGTAATGTGCACAGGGTGGAAAAGGAGAGAAACTGAGTCAGCAGCTTTGCTCCTTTGAGATCCTATTTCTACAGAGACCCACAGAATATTAAAGCTGGGAGGGACCTGAGACATCATTTAATTCAATCTTCACAGACTTGGTTGTTGTCCTATAAATACATATTTTCTTAGAGTTAGATTTACCGCCCCCCCCAATTAACTGCATAGAAAAGGAAATGAGCTGGTATCATCCTCTGGTGAAGGAGTGGGTCCCCAAAGATAGCTCTCCTTTTTTTTTAGCTTCTGCTGCACAGTGGATTGAAATGAATATAAAAACTAAACTAGGGAGAAAAGCCCAAGGTGTTGCATGTATGTGAGGAGCAGGGGCACTTTGCTACTTGTAGGCAGAGACAGAATGAATGCCCTGTTTCTGTGAACCAACAGTGAATGTGGTTCTATGTTGATGCCAACAGTGGAGAATGTCCCTCGTTACAAGCAGGAGTCAGAGCAGGAGTCCCTGGTTGGCAGGGAAGGCCAACAGGGAGGCCAGGAGTGGGCCTCAAGGAGAGGGTGGGGGCAGCAGAAGGCCAGAAAATGTCCCTGAATTTGGGACAGCAGTAAAGGGTCATCGTCAGTCCGTCATTCAACATGTGGGAAACTGAGGCAAAGAAAAGTGGAGGGACTTGCTTAAGGCCTTATAAACTATGGGTGGCAAAATTAAAATGATTTTCTATTCTGATTTCCATGCCCTCCTTAACTTTTATACCGGAGAAACCTTGTGCCTGTGCTGGGATTGAGCTGGGGCACTGTGGGAAAGGTAGCAAAAACCACGGCAGGCAGCCAGCAGGGCTGTGGCCGGGTTACACGGAAATACAGAACTTAAGCTTCCCTCCCTCCTTCCCTCCCTCCCAGAGAAAGAGCACGCGCACGCAAGTGGGGGGCGGAGGGGCAGAAGGAGAGAGAGAATCTTAAGCAGACTCCATGCCCAGCGTGGAGCCCAGCATAGGGCTCAATCTCATGACCCTGAGACCATGACCTGAGCCCAAACCAAGATTCAGACACCTAAACAACTGAGCACCCAGGCGCACTCCCCCATTTCTGATGCTAAGAACAATTCAGCTTGGTGAGTGGGGGCGCCTTTTCATTTGTAGATGGAACTTAGTAAGGACAGCTGACAACCATTACAATGTGTGCAGCATCTTCAGCACATCCTTGGATGTCACACTGGGTTTTGCGGTGCATTAAACTACCTAGAAGTTTTAAGAACCCTTCCTGCCTCCCCTCTTCTGTTCTGGCCACCCCCAGAGATTCTGACATCACTGGTTAAGAATCACTGCTCTAGACTAGAATGTGTCACACCCCTTTGGTATGTTGGGGCAGAGAAAAGGTTAGAAACCATGGATGTCGTGGGCACCGTAAGTAGTCACGGGTCTGTGCTCTTCCTACACAGCTGATCCAATCACTTCCTGGCACCTGCTAGAACAATCCTTCTAGACTAACAGAAGTACAGTGCAAATTCACATGTAATTTTAAATTATCTGTTAACCACATAGAAAAGGAAAAGGAAACAGGTGAAATTAATAATAAATTTAATTCAACATATCTAAAATATTGCCATTTCAACGAGTAAATATGTTATGATATGTTTCACATTTCTCATACTAAGTCTCCAAAATCCGCTGTGTGCTTTATACTTGCAGCACATCTCAATTCACAGTTAGCTACATTTCAGGGGTTTGAAAGCCACATATAGCTGGTGGCTACCATACAGACCCATAACCACCCTTGCCTCTCTCGCGGACTTAAGTTACTACAATAGAAATAGCAATTTCTCCATACTATAGCCATCTCGACCTCCCTCAGGCCCTTCCCTTTCCACTTTGGTCCTAATTCTATCCCAGCACTCTTCCGTTAGTCATCAAGTAATCATCACTGAGAGCCTGCCCAGTGCTGGGTATTCGTGTTAACTTATGAGGATGAAAAGATAAATAAGACCTAGATCCTGACTTCCAGGAGCTCTCACCTTGGGGGAATATGAAGGCACATACAAGAGAATTTGCTGAAGGCTCTACCCACAGATACATACAAAAGGATGCTGAGGAAGGACTTTCTGGGGTTCCAAGAAGCATTCACATATATGAGACATTTGTGTTGAGTTTTAAGGGATGAGGAAAAATTGTGGAAGGGCAGGGAAAGGTGTTTCAGCCACAGAGAAAAGCATATTCAAGACAAAACATGACAATCATGCTTGGAAAAGGCAAGTGTCGAGCAGGGCGAGGACTGGGCTGGAGGCAGCTGGTGGGGTGAGCGGGGCCTTAAGAGCCTGCAGACACACAACCACTGTGGGCTTGTTGTCTGAGCAGGGAAATCCTGGGGCAGGTTATGGCACAGACTGGAGAGGACAAGGAAGTAAGGAAAGCCTGAACAATGGAATGAATGAATGGAAGGGTGGCAGTATGTCTAGAACAGATGGATGTCAGCACCCAAGGGAATGAATGGAATGGAAGAGCACTGTTTTGTGGAGTCTCAAGAAGAGGCTTGATGATGGAGGCTGGACAAAGGGCCTAAGAGCTAAGGCTTTTCCAGACCCAAACCCATTAGGCTAGGGTTCATAGGGCCACTAGCATGGTATTTACACAGGACTATGAAACCTGTGGTGATCTAAGAGCACAAACGGCCTCTTTCCCTGAGGAATTAATGGGGCTACCTATGGCTCCACTTAGGCAGGAGACAAAATCAAGCCAAATGACTTTCAGGATTGCTAGGGAAGTCACACCTGTGAGACGCAGCAGGTGCTGGGCAGCACCTGGCCAGCTCCATCAGATGATGCGGTGGCTTATCTGACCTCGGGTTTCCTGGAAGAAGGCTCTGGAGCTCTCAGGTGAGAAGAGAGCAACAACAACATGACGTTCCCAGTGAGCAGGAGCCTCTGAGATCCTATGGCAAAGCTGAGGCAGGGAGATGACATGGCTTGAAGGTCATATAGCCAGTAAGTGGCAGGGCCACGAACAGCATCTACCCTCCGTGGCACCAAAGCCACAGGGAGGTCAGTGCAACAGGTGTTATGGAGAACTGTTTATCCGGACAGCAAACGCAAGTGGAAAAGGAGAAAGTGAGGCTGGAGACACACTAGGCAATAAAAATGTTTTTGCGAGCTAAAAAGATTGAGTTTAGTAGCGATAAATGAGGTACTCACACGGTGAAATATCCACAAAGTTTGGGTCGATATTATGCAGCAGCTCCATTCTGGGGGACGGGCTTCCTTCACTAGAAGAGAATTTTTTAGGAAACGTTAATTTCCTCTCTCAAATTAATACGATGACTTTTAATACTTCCTTTCCTTGTACTTACAGGAAATAACAAGCTTGCCAATTAACAACTTTGTCATGAATTCGGAGATCTCTAAAATCTGTTGTTGGTGCATCTTTAATTCATAATTATTTGTCTACATTATAGTAATGACTGAACATCTAGTAAGACTGTCAGTGTCAAGCATATGACAATTAAACAATACTCTTAATTGTGACCCTTTGCAATAAACACTGTGGCTGCATTTATACATGACCATTGTTTACAAAGGGAAATGAGAACTCAAGTCGTTCTGTGCAGGCTTCATACTGACCATTCACAGGGAGATGAGGAAAGGACATCTACGAAGATGGTGGCATCAAAACTACAAGCACAACCTACGTTAGTGGTGAAAAGAAACCTGGGGATCACAGTCCAACCCCTTACATCATGAGTAAGGCAGACAAAGTTGTTGGCCAGATTTTAGATCATGTGACTCTTAGATCAATGGTGTTCTTAAAACATTGGGAGCATTAGGGCACCTGGGTGTCTCAGTTGGTTAAGCGTCCGACTCCTGGTTTTGGCTCAGGTCTTTGAGGCCTCATGATCTTTTTTTTTTTTAAAGATTTTATTTATTTATTTGAGAGAGAGAGAATGAGAGACAGAGAGCATGAGAGGGAGGAGGGTCAGAGGGAGAAGCAGACTCCCTGCCGAGCAGGGAGCCCGATAAGGGACTCGATCCCGGGACTCCAGGATCATGACCCGAGCCGAAGGCAGTCCCTTAACCAACTGAGCCACCCAGGCGCCCGAGGCATGATCTTGAGGTCATGGAATCAAGCCCCACATTGGGCTCTGCACTCAGCGTGGAGTCTCCTTCAGTTTCTCACTCCCTCTCCCTCCCGCTCACTCTTTCTCTCTCTCAAACAAATAAAATCTTCAAAAAAAAAAAAAAATGAGAACATTAACATCACCAGATATATGCGGGGTGTGCATGATGTTCCCAAGACATTTTGCTAGTATAGACTCAGCCTTATGTAAAAAATGATTTCAATCATTGGGAGTACTAAGGACTGCTTGATAACCCAATAAAAGGTTGCAAAGTACTGTTAACACTGTAGGATTTGTATACACTTGAAAAACCACTAAGGTCCCTGATGTAACCAAGAGGGCGTATTTTCAGGTGACCCAATATCCACACTCAAAATCACAGGTAGCTGTCTACAGCAGTGGCTTGGGATTTCAAGATCCATAAAATTTCAAAAAATCTGGGTTGTGATTGGCAATGTTGTATATGCCAAGTAAAAAAATTTTAAAACAAAATTTAATTAATTAAAAAAACCCCAAACTTCAATTACCATCACCATTATATTATAAAATAAAGATTTTTTTTTAAGGTGGGGGGCAGGGCACAGAGGGAGAGAGAGAATCTTAAGCAGGCTCCATGCCCAGCAGAGGCAGACTCAGGGCTCCATCTCACAATCCTGAGATCATGACCTGAGCCGAAATCAAGAGTCAGATGCTTAACTGACTTAGCCACCCAGGCGCCCCTAAAATAAAGATAATTTTAATAGCAAAAAGGGTAGGAAGAATATGATCTCAGAAAAACATGACAGCTCTTCAAACTGAATGTATTTAACTTTAGTATCCTATCGGATTTTCTTGTTCTTCTCTACTCCATAAAACGCTAATTAGAGGGTAGGAGGAAATACACAGGGATGTCTCTAGTTCTGGTGGCACAGGAGGCAGCATTGTTGGGGAGAGGGGTCATATTTCCCAGGACTCTTCTCATTTTCCTCTTGAGGCAACTAACTATCTGATTGTCCTGGAGACTGCCAACCAGTCCAAAATGACAGGAACTAGGGTTTGATTCCAGAAGCTCTGAATGCAAGAAGGGATGATTAGCAAACAAAATGGTGAATGTGAGAAAATCTAAACAGGATGATGCTGATGATGATGATGATGATGCCTAATTTGTGGGTTTAATGCAAATGGAGTTAAAATCTGGATGATAATAATAGCAAGTTAAGTCAGAAGGAGAAATCAGAATGAATGCATTTTATAAAGTCTTCATATTGTTTAGAAGTTAATACTACTGATGAAATTCAGATTTAGCTAAGTAAAATTTGCATGTTAAAGTTTTAAGGTAACTTGAAAATAAAGACAGAATTTTTCTGGACTACAGAAAAACAAAACAATTTTGTTTTGTTGAATGAATTTTCATTCAATTCAAAAGAAGACCCAAAAATTTCAGGGCCAAGATATTAGTACATAACCACTTGTCTTTAAAGGCATAGTTCACTGGGATACCCCAAAGCATTAGGCACAGTTAAGTAAAGGATCTTTTTCTAATAACTTTTAGAAAGAGTTTCTCTGTTATGTTATTCATTCATTCATATTTTTTGCATTATTCAGAAGAGTTACAGATATTTCAAAATAAGGAAACTTAAGAGATGACATTTTGAATACTGGAGTCTGTGAGTAATCCTGGTGACGGATCATTTGCTAGGAAAAATCTTCAGAGGTAGAATCACCATGATGTAAACAGGAACAACAACAAAAACAAAACAAAAAACAACCAGTTCTCTTAAGTATGTTGTGACACTACTTTTTAAAATGTAGTAATCAGAACATTTTGATAAGAATGTTGTTACTTACATGAGGCAAGAAGACACAGTATGTGATTAGTAATTAAAACAATGACCAAACATCCTTAGTCACTCCATTAGGAGCATTAGGGCACCTGGGTGGTCACTCCAAGTTATTAAATAAATCAAGGAAACCAAATGTACATTTAGGGAACTGAATAAAATACCATAAATCTTGGGTTACTTCACCTCAAAATACAAATAAAACCCCAGATTAGCCCATGTACCAATTCCCTGGGGCTAGCCTTTTGGAAAATGATGGATTTTAGAAATATCTCTGGGTATATTTTTTTTTTTTAAGATTTTATTTATTTATTTGAGACAGAGAGAATAAGAGACAGAGAGCAGGAGAGGGAGGAGGGTCAGAGGGAGAAGCAGACTCCCTGCTGAGCAGGGAGCCCGATGCGGGACTCGATCCCGGGACTCCAGGATCATGACCTGAGCCGAAGGCAGTCGCTTAACCAACTGAGCCACCCAGGCGCCCTCTGGGTAGATTTTTTAAAAGATGCATACCAAGGGCACCTGGGTGGCTCAGTCGTTAAGCGTCTGCCTTCGGCTCAGGTCATGATCCCAGAGTCCTGGGATCGAGCGCCGCATCGGGCTCCCTGCTCAGCGGGAGGCCTGCTTCTCCCTCTCCCACTCCCCCTGCTTGTGCTCCCTCTCTCGCTGTGTCTCTCTCTGTCAAAAAAAAAAAAAAAAAAAAAAATCTTAAAAAAAAAAAAGATGCATACCAACATGTGAAGTAATTATGGAAATATGGAAAAATATACACCAAACTTAACTGGAGTGGACAGATGGGTGGGATGAGGTTATTGAGGACTTTTGATCTCTACAACTAGCATATATTATTATTGTAATCAAGAAAAATTTAAGATTTTAAAAATATTTTATTTATTTATTTATTTTCAGAGAGAGAGAGTGGGCGAGGGGCAGAGGGAGAGGGAGAAGCAGAGTCTCAGCTGAGCAGGGAGCCTGATGTGGGACTCAATCTCAGGACTCTGGGATCATGACCTGAACCGAAGGCAGACGCTTAACCGACTGAGCCACCCAGGCGCCCCTGGAATCTGCATTTCCAACAGGTACTGGGAAGTACTGTTGCAGCCGCTCTGAGGACCACACTTTGAGTAGCAAGATTGGAGGAAGGCTCCTGGAGTCCTCTAACAAGGGACCGGAACTCTTTTGGAGTTTCCTAAATTAGAAACTCATGTAGTTTAGACCTGCTTCTGGAGCAATGAGTCTTGACCTTGGCTACACAATGCAGTCACGTGGGGAGCTTTAAAAAATACTGATGCTTGGATTCCACCACAAGGGAGTGATCTCACCGACATGCGCTTCAGCCTGGGCACACAGATTTATAAAAGTACCCATGCTGATTTCCTTAAAACTAGCTTTATTAAAATACAATTTATAAATCATACAATTAACCCACTTAAAGTGTACAGTTAAATATTTTTAGTATATACACAGAGTTGTACAACCATCAACACAATCTAATTTTACATTATTTTTCTCCCCTGTTAAATAAAAATTGTGTATCCATTAGCAGCTACCCTTCAGTTTGTCTCTCCCTAGGCTCCTTGCAGCCCAAGGCAATCACTAATCTATAGTGTTCTAACAGACTTGCCTATTCTATATATTCATATAAATGGAATCATAGAGGGGTGCCTGGGTGGTTCAGTCCTTTAAGCAGTTAAGCATCTGCCTTCGGCTCAGGTCATGATCTCAGGATCCTGGGATCGACTCAGCAGGGAGTCTGCTTCTCCCTCTCCCTCTGCCCCTGCTCCTATTCTCTCTCTCATTCACTCTCTCTCTCTCAAGTAAGTAAATAAAATCTTAGAAGAAAAAAAAAAGGGATCATAGAATATGTGGTCTTTTTTGATGGCTTCTTTCACTTAGCATTACGTTTTCTCTACATCTTCATCATCACTTGTTAATGGCTATCTTCTTGATTATAGCCATCTTAGTTGGTATGAAGTGGCATCTCACTGTGGTTTTGACTTACATTTTCATCTTCATATGAAAATCTACTATTTGTATAGCTTCTTTGGAGAAATATCTATTCAGATACTTTGCTCATTTTTTATTTGAGCTATTTGTCTCTTTATAATTGGGTCGCATATATTCTGGATATATTCTGGATTCAACTCCCATATCAGATGCATGATTTGTTAATATTTTCTCTAATTATCTGGGTTGTCTTTTTGCTTTCTTTATAGTATCACTTGCAGAACAAAAAAGTTTAAAATTTTGATGTGATACAACTTAGCTATTTTTCCTTTGTTGCTTTTGGTATTTTATCTACAGAACCACTGCTTAATCCAGAGTCACAAAGAT